GTTGGTCTGTATAGTCTGGAGGACCATGGCAGGGTTCAAGTATATATAGACAGAGGAGGGAAATAAGACAGTGGTCTTTACATAGGTCTGTATCCTCTCACTACTGAGCATCTAGACAGTAGAGGGACATCTTGCTACTAACTTCTACAGGTGTTTTGTGGATCTATTTTTCAAGAGTGTGGATTGGTTGACAGGTTTTTTTCAAGATGTGTTGTCCAGCTTGAATTACCAACAGTTTTGAGTAGACCAAAACTGGGGGTGGAGGTGGGTGTCTTAGGACTTTTGGTTTTGAAGACAAAGTACTCGCGAAAGACAACAACAACATGCTTAGCTGTATCCTGAGTTGAGAATGTACATTCTCCTCCAGAAGATGGAACTAAATCAAGGAGTCAGGGAGCTTGTGTTCCCCTGCTGTCAGCCATAACTTGAAACCTGCTGGCAAACTGTGTATTTTATCTGTTACCGGTGCATATGAAGACAACTGCCTACAACTGCTGTTGCTATTGGCTCATGTGACAGATGTTTGTGCTACGTGTTTTAAAAGTCTGAAATCTGCTGTCAAAATTCGTGGGCAATGGTATATACCATTCCTCTTCTGCCTCGAACGATGAGAGAGCTTGACAGAAGAAACGACAACCTAAGATGTAGTGCAAGAGGTAGAATTGACAATATCCTGATTTCTTTAAATTGAAAGTTTGACTTTTGTTAGCCAATACCATAAAGATACGAGAGTATATATATACACTTATGTGAACCCATGCTGTCTGTGCTAAGCATTCATTTTAAGTACTGTTATATTTGTAGGCTTCCTGTAATTTCATGGTATTTCAGACTATTTTGTGTTTGAGATAGTCTGCGGTAGAAGTGAATGCTTATTTGAATTGCTGTGTATTGGCTGCAGGACAGCTGTAATACCCCAAATAAGCAAATACTGATGTTGTAACTTTTGCACAGAAAAAGAGGTAGTTGTGAAAAATCTTTAGAAATTTTGCTAACTTGTGGATGTATACAGGGAACTAAAGTAAATATGAACTCAGAAGGAAATGCAAGTTTTGGACAAATGGGTTGCATTTTAGATGAGTGTTAATATGGGAAGTATTAAATCAGTGCTGACTTGACTCTATCCTGTTATTGCAACTTCTGTTTTAACGCTGTGGGGTTCATGACATGTAACCCAGCCCTGATTGATTACAGTTTGAATCAGCAGTAAGGCACCTGAGCATGATCAGTTTGGTCTCTTGTTAGAAATGAGAAATTGAACTCTTGCTAGTCTCTTTATGTGATTTTATTCTTTAATATTTAGGGAGACTTTTCAGAATAATATCCCTCTT